TTGTGGTAAAACCTTAAAGCCCAAAAACTTAATAAAACACAAAAATGTAAAAGTTTTGATTTTAATGACTAAAAGTGTCAAATTTACTAAGCATTTATGGTAAAAACCTAAAAACATAAAAGTTACTATTGCTAACTTCCTTTAGATTATATATATATATATATATATATATATATATATATATATATATATATATGTATGTATATAGACAGAGAGAGAGAAAGAGCTAGGTTCAAGTATTCTAACTAATTATTGTGTGGATGTAAAGCCAATCATTTCAAAACCTAAATAAGGTAAATTTTTAATGTTATTTATTAATTAATTTTAGTAATTAAATAAATATTTAATTAATCTTTTTAGTTTTAACAATATAGTTTTAAAATTAAAAACCCTAACTGACCATACAAAACACATATCTCATTCTTCTCTAAGAATTTGTATGAATCTATATTTCCATTTCAATGTTTGAATATATATAAGGATCATATTATATTTCAACTGAAAGTTGAAGAATATTGTTTTTCTACAAAACAATCATATTGAGTATATAAGGATAATATTAAAATAGTCAAACATCATCTAAAGTGTATTCACATGTTTGTAATTTGCTAAATTATTTTCAAAGGTAAATTATTAATATTTTAATATATTGCTTCTATATATTTCATATTGAGTATATTAATCAATTCTATATGGGTTATATTTCATCTTTACTAGAAAACAGTCGAATCCAAATGCATACATCAGAAACTCCTAAATTGTATTATTAAAAAATTTAGATTTTTATTATAATTATTCATTTATGTGGCTTGTAACACATCTTCTTCTTCTTATTCTTCTTTTTTTTCTAATAAAACACTCCTAAACATGTCACACGTCTATTTTTTATACCTCTGCTTTGACACATGACACCTTCTCCTTGATCTTTCCCTCTAATTCGTTCCCACCCCAACCCTTATCGAGTATGTGTTCAGCTGTTTATTCCCTAAAATCACGCATTTGTTTCCACTAATTTCGTTTTCTTAGTTTTGGTAACTAATTCAAAGTTAAAATATACCTAAATCCTACATCAAATGGAAACCTTCAATTCTACCTTGTGGTTTAATAGTTTACCAATGAGCAAATGCACAATTTCAAGCATTTAGTTCCTCAATTTTTTTATCAACTCAGACAAAACAGTATTTGGTGGTTCTAGATAAGCTTATGTTTTAGCTACTTGGTCTTTTTTCGACACAATTTGAAGATCCTACCTCGATTTTTTCATGACTTGTCACTGGTACATGTAATATAATTTCTCCTTATTTCAACTTTGGGATCGCTCTTTTGGAAGTTTGAAGTCTCCCGTGATTTGAAGATCAATGTGTGTTTCTTCATCTTCTCGATTTTGGTCTCTATATTTATAATGATTAACCGTCTTAGTGTTATATGGAACTATTCTACACTCAAACTCCGCCGTAAGAATTTTCTGTTTCTTCTTTTAAGAAGTCTGAGGGTTCATCATGGAGGAAGTATACCAATTCAGAGTTAATCAAGAACACATGATTTTGTTATGTTCGAAATCTAGGTAATATTCAAACCCATATGCTATTTATAATTCATAATTTTTCTAAATTTTCAGGGAACACCCACTATTCAAACCCATATGCTATTTTGAAACAAAAATACTTTTTTAGGCAATTGATGTCTTCATATTTGCTTAAAATTTAGAAACGTCAAAGATGCTCACCACAAAACCAATGAGATGGGTCTCAAACGTATTTTCATGGAACATATACATGTGATTTTTTTTATTAGTTTAAATGACATTGGAGGTGTATGCCAAGTGTTCAATGAAACAGATGATTGAGATAGAGAGACATCCTTTCCAAAATTGTTAGTTTAGATCATAAATAAAGTTTTAGATAGAGAGCCATCTTTTCCAAAATTGTTAGTTTATGTCATAAATAAAGTTAGTTTTGATATGCATTTCTTTATTAATTTATTTTGATGCATGTTTTTATTAACTATTTTTTGCTTCACCAGCGTCAAATCTTTCAAATTTGAAAACAGGTACCATTATGTTTTAATTGTTATAGAATCATATCTCTAATTGGTGTATGATATTAATTATAACATGTTAACTATTTCTACATACCTTTGAATGGTCTCACCATTTTATAGCAGCATTCTACAAGCATTTCAAGCAAACCAACAGTTCAATGTCAACATTCTCAACCCACTGGTTGTCGGCCTGTGTTCTCCTTTGGTTGGGAAGTTTATACGATTAGTTGAAGATGATGGTTGGTACTTGATAATCACACGATGCACGTTTTTTACAACGACACTCCTTTAGCTCGTCCATTTTCTAACTGGTTAAAAGGTTCACAAGTTATCCGATCTTGATCACTTAAGAAGCATTTCAATTTTTGTAAAATATGGCTTATTTTGAAAACTAGCTTATTCATTTTCTTTGTTGTTTTTGTGTTAGGTTAATAGCAACCCTAGAGGATGGAAACAATGGATTATAAATGAACCAAAGAAGAAAGCAAAGATAAAGAGGCATTACTACCACATCATTTAGCTCATATACATCTGGAGATTAAAACAACTCATTACTTAAGGTATAACCAACTAACCCTTAAATATTGTGGTCTTATATGTTAAGCCCCTATATCATTAGAAAAAGACAATCCGGTAAAATTTTTAACTTGATTGTTCAAGTTCAAAAACTAACATGCTATTGGATTATATGGGAAAATTGATATTTTTTTGATTAAATTGTCAACCACGTGAGATTAAACTAGAATAATTGGATAAAAGTGTGTTAAATATGTAGGATTAAACTCGAAACTACTATGTTACTGCTGGTTGATTAAAAGATATCAGATTATACTATTTTGAGTTCAATCATTTATATGGTTCATTAAATGTTGAATTCTTACAGGATTTTCTGGTTACATGATCTACTCTTTCATGCATTGATTAATTTTTTTTTCTCTTTTGATTGATAACAATTTTATGAGAATCTTTTATGTACAGCCAAAGTGTAACGACCCTCAATATTCAGATGAACATAATGTAACTGTATTGCTTTTATAAGTAAAGTGTTGTAAGTACGTCGCCATTGTGTATACTTCTGTGATTTTGAACATTTTTATGTCACGATTTCATTAGGTAATGTGAAGATTTTTTTCCGCGTATTTTGATTGGTTAATGGTAAATGATGACCGTTGAACAGTCAAATATGTTAAGATTTTTTTTCTTTCTTTCTTGCCTATAAATTATAAAATCTACTTCATTTGTTCAAATCAAGACCAAACTTTTACATTTCTCGATTGTTTTCTCTCTCAAAATTAAATAGAAAATGTCATATTCTTCATCTTCTAAAGAATTTCAAGTTATTTTTAATTTTGCTATTGCTTGTGTTCTTTAAGTTTGTAGGATTTTTTTAATGTCATGTTTTTTTAGTAATGTAATGTAATGTTTTTTTTTTTATTTTGAAGTAATGAAAAATTATGCTTTTTTATTGAAAAAGAAGTTTTATTAAATTAAATTATTAAATAAAAAGTATGGCACCACTCTTTGGGTGTGATAAGAAACCACACTTGTGTGGTAAAAAGTGACGTGGTGCATATGTGACAGTGAAGAGAGTACGGTTTTGATGACACCACTCCCTTCAGCTTTATAAACTTGGTTTTATAAATTTGTTGTTATTTGCAAGTTTATATTTCCCGTTCTTGATATTCATTGTGTGTGGTTGTAGACTTTTGCATTGAAATTCAAAAATAATGATTTACTTTTGAATGTTTGTGGCCAATGAGTTTATTCAATGTTATATTTAGAAAATTGTTAACATTTAAATTTAATTACATTGAGTGCTACTTTCCAACTATTTAAGCTCTTTTATTTGATAGTAAATATTTAAATAAAGGGATTTTCTAATATGTACCACATATAAGAAGTATTAATTAATCATAATTATTACCATAATTAAATGTGAAATGCATTAATTATAGAGATTATTAATGAATTTTATATTTAATTATGGCAATATTTCTTATAATTAATGATTTAATATTTAATTATGGTAATAATTATGATTAATTAATATTTTTTATATGTGTCCTTAGGCACATATTAAAAAATCCCTTAAATAAAAGTTTATAATTGTTAAAAAGGAAACAATGTGTTATTCTCATATTACCTTTTTACTTACAAACAAACTCTCGTAATTACCAAAAAAAAAATAATAATAAAAAAAAATAATGCACTTAATTTATGGTCGTGCCTAATATGTTTATAAATGGTCATCTTGGTTAAAAATGTTAGTGTTTTAATTTTCATATTTTTTTAGGTAAACGGATAAAACATCTAAATTTCTAAAAGATAAGCATAAAAAACTATTGTTGCAGATGTATTATTAATTATAATATCTATTAACTTTCAACGTTGTTTTATGTTAAATCCCGTGTAGTACACAGGTTATAACATAGTTATTATTATAAAATTTAGGAAGTGGATTAACCCAATAAGATTAATGTTTTAGCCCATAGTAAAAATAAGTTTATCTTGTTGAAGAAAAAAAAGTGGATTATGGAATGTTTAAACACAAATTAATTAGGATGGGGTCACTCTCTCGATCGAGTTCTTAATGGGAACGACGGCAAATATGTTGACAATATGACTTCAAATCCAATTCGTGGATCCTTATGCTAGTATAAAAAATACTACGAATAAATAAATAAAAAGTCACCGAGTTGAGTTTTTTAGCTCATGGCAGTATTCAACATGTCTACCTCGTGGATCTTTATGCTAATATGATCCAAAACTAAGAGGCAGGCATCAATTTTCAAGGACAAACTAGTCAATTCCAATCAAAAGATATCAATGAAAGTGACCAAAAATGTATCCTTGTGATATACAAATGGAGAAGGGCAGATAAGAGAAAATGACTTGAACTATTATTTAATGGGGTTACAAACTAGGATTTTTGATTCCATAAATATTTTCTGCTTCTTTCTTGTGATTTTGTGAGTTGGGATTCATGGAATATGAGAAGGGCATTGAACATAATTTCACGCAAGATGGCACTACAGATCTTAAGGGTAGACCCATCCTTCGATCAAAAACAGGGAGATGGAGAGCTTGTTACTACATGATAGGTGATTGTCATAAAAAAAATATAATATATACTCTTACTTCTTCCTCTACTGGCTTTAATTTGTAATATATATGTGGAGTCATTGTTTTAATCTCCAAAAGAGTCATTTGGAGAAAAAAATACCCAGTGTATAAAAAGACATATAAAACAGTGTTGTATCGATGTCAGATACGTTAACACAATTACTATTTTTTTCTGTCGATATTATTAGCATTAGTTATCAAATATATTATACTTGTGTCATGGTTTTATCTGCTTAATAAACAAAGAAATTGATATACTATTTGTTGAATCGAATATGATACAACAACAATAACTTTTTTTTTTGTTCTTTGAACTTGATTTTTCAGGCTATGAAGTGTGTGAAAGAATGGCATACTATGGAATAGCAACAAACTTGGTGTTATACTTAACAAGGGAATTGCATGAAGGCACAGTGAAATCATCGAACAATGTCACAAATTGGGTGGGAACTGTGTGGATGACGCCTCTTTTAGGTGCATATATCGCCGACACATACTTGGGAAGATATTGGACTTTCATGATTGCTTCGGTCATTTATTTTCTGGTATATTTTTATAACTTTGTTCTGTGTTAACATTAACATTTTTGCGTAAATTAGTTCTAAACCCTAGATCGTGTTGCTAAATTGTAAATCGGGGCCGAGCAGAACTATCCGAAATATCTGAAATCCCTATCCGAAAATATCCAAAATTTCGGATATCCGGATTTTCAGATATCCAAAATTTGGATATCTGTGTTTTCGGATTCGGATACGGATAGTGATTTTGTAACTTTTTCGGATATTTCGGATATCAGATATCCGATATCCCAAATCTTTTTTTTCTTATTATATTTACTATTTTAATATGGAAAAGTGGAAAGTAATAATATATAGTCTCAAGTTTTATTGTTAATATTCGATCGAAAGTGTCATTGCTGATGAATTTAGTAACTTATTTTCACTAATATATTGTTTTATGTTTTCTTATGCTAAAACTATCGAGTTTTTTTTTATGAGATATATCCATCGTCGCTATAGGTATCTCCATAGTTAAATGTGGTGTTAATTTAAATTTATTTATAAAGTTAATAACGAATTAAGTAGTTGTCATCGAATAATCGGGTAGTTTGTCTTTCCCTATTATATATATTTGAATTTGTTTGTGACTTTAGTTTGTTTGCAAAGTATACACTAGAGATTAGCAGGCTAGTAGCACCGTATGTATCCGCAATTTGCAATAAGAAAATATATGTCACTTATAAAAGCACTCACATAACATAAAGGCATAATGAGGATGAATTGATACGAAAATAAAATACAATGCTTCTCTAGTCTTTTGCTTATTAGTTTCGTTACCAAGTTAATTGTAATGTTAATTTTTTTACCTAGTAAATACAAAACATAAATTGCATAAACTTTCATTTTCGCAGGCCTTGATTTTCGGATATTCAATTTAATATCCGAATTTGTATCCGAAAATTTGTATATCCGAAATTTCGGATATTGATACGGCTATCAAAAATCCACTATCTGAATTTTTGGATATCCGAATTTCTGGATATCCGGTTTTGAACACCCCTAGATGTGGGTTATCTTAATTACACAACTCTTTTCTTATTTAAACAGGGCATGTGTTTATTGACTCTTGTGGTTTCACTACCAACTCTTAAGCCACCAACATGTGGCAAACATGTGAGTTACCTAGATTGCGATAAACGGGCCTCTTCATTCCAAGTTGCTATTTTCTATTGTGCACTTTACATTATTGCGATTGGGACCGGTGGAACCAAGCCCAACATCTCGACAATGGGTGCAGATCAGTTTGATGATTTTGAGCCCATGGAAAAGGCTCATAAGCTCACTTTTTTCAATTGGTGGATGTTTAGCATCTTTTTTGGCACCCTTTTCTCTAATACATTCCTAGTGTATATTCAAGATGATGTGGGTTGGGCCTTAGGGTATGGTATCCCTACATTGGCTCTCCTTGTGGCCATAATAGCCTTTATATTTGGTACACCAACTTATAGGCACAAACCAATAGTAGAAAGCCCATTTACTAAAATTGCCAAAGTACTAGTTGCCACTTTTAGAAAGAGACATGTAGTTTTACCTATTGACCTTAAAGAGCTACATGAGTTACCTTTAGATGAGTACTCTAGTCACGGGAAGTATAGAGTCAGCCATTCGAGTTCGTTACGGTTCCTCGACAAAGCTGCAGTGAAGATCGATGAACCAGCTTCGGAATGGAAGTTGTGTCCGGTGACTCAAGTCGAGCAGACAAAACAAATGGTCAAAATGATCCCAATATTGTTTGCAACATTTATCCCTAGCACATTAGTGGCCCAAATACACACTTTTTTCATCAAACAAGGCACAACGTTGGTTCGATCCATGGGACCACATTTTGACATCCCACCAGCTTGTCTATCAGTATTTCTTACGATCTCCATGCTAATTAGTATTGTAGTTTATGATCGGTTATTTGTTCCTTGGGTTCGCAAATACACAAAAAACCCACGAGGCATTACTTTGTTGCAACGAATGACAATTGGAATCATCCTCCATATCATTACAATGATAGTCGCTAGTCTTGTAGAAAGACAACGACTAAGTGTTGCTAAAGATCATGGTATATCTGAGAAAGGACAAATCGTGCCTTTGAGCATATTCATTCTCCTTCCTCAATTCGCGTTGATGGGTGTCGCTGATTGTTTCTTAGAAGTCGCTAAACTTGAGTTTTTCTACGATCAAGCGCCTGAAGGAATGAAAAGCCTTGGGACTGCTTATTTTACAACTAGCTTGGGTGTCGGGTTTTTTCTAAGTAGTTTTATACTATCGACTGTGTCTGATGTTACCAAGAGGAATGAACACAAAGGTTGGATACTAAACAACCTGAATGAATCACATATAGACTACTATTATGTTTTTTATGCTATTTTGAGCTTCGTAAACTTCTTTTTCTTCCTCGTTGCCGCAAAAAACTTTGACTACAATGTTGAAGTTGATGAAACCAAACAAGAGTTGGAAAACAAGATATTGGGAAGTTCACAAAGCAAAGGTATGTTGTCAGATGATGATCATAAAATGTAATATTGTTTCATATTAACACAAACCTTGGATATATTCTCGTATTTTTTCCTATTATGATTACATATTTACATAACACTTTGTATTTACAATCTACCATATTTTAGTCAAATGTGATAATGTCAACTGTTGTTTTATTTAGGTAATATTTGTCATGATAGAATGGACTATTGCATTAAATGACACGTCTACTTCTTCTAATAAATAAAACATAAAAACATCATGTGTTCTTTTTCTAGCATACTTCTTTGATACGCGATATTTTTCTAAAATATCTACCATTTTTTTAACAATTCAATCCTATAAAATCTGGTAAAAATCTTTAACCATTATCTCGATAACTTTCTATTAAAATTTAGAGTAAATTACACGAATGGTCCCTATGGTTTGAGGTAATTTGCATGCTTGGTTCCTAACTTATTTTTAACTCGGAAGGTCCCTATGGTTTGTTTTTGTTACACGTTTGGTCCCTAATGTTTATTTTTGTTACGCGTTTGGTCCCTGTCTTATCTAAAAAGACTATTATTTAAAGAGAAAAAAATGATGGGGTAGGTGAGGTAAGGTGAGGGGGTAGGATTAGGGGTGTGTTTATTTAGATAAATTAAAAAAAATCAAGGGTATAATAGTCTTTTTAGGTAAGATAGGGACCAACCGCGTAACAAAAACAAACAGTAGGGACCTTCCGAGTTAAAAAAACAAGTTAGGGACCAAACGCGCAAATTACCCTAAACCATAGGGACCATTCATGTAATTTACTCTAAAATTTAATCCAAATTTGAATCCTAATTTCTAAAATTATCACGTATAAAAATTTTTGAGAACCTTTTATAAAATTATTGTTAGCATATTACCACTACTACTATTATTTACAACTAAACCCTAAAATTAAATATTAAACCCCAATCATTTTATTTGTTTTTTGTTCATTCGAAACCTTTTATCCCAAACTAGGTTATAACCCGTGGAAACCACGGGAGGTACGGTTAAAAATTTTATATAGACAAAAAAAAAATTAATAACTGTAAAAAAAAGCATTGGATTCTGGATGGCAAGTAATTACTACTTTATTTGATAAGTAAAATAAACATAACACTTTAACATAAATTTTGACATACTTCTTCGAACACAATATTGGAAGTTTGATTAGTCAAATTATCATTCTTATCTAAAATCAATAACTTCAATCATTCTCTGCTATTTACTCTGGATAAAGCAACATATAACTGACCATGTGAGAAAATCGGTTCTCGCAAAAACAACCCAACTTTTGACAATGATTGTCCCTGGCTTTTATTTACGGTCATAGCAAAACAAACCGCTAGGGGAAATTGTCTCCTTTTGAACTTGTATGGAATTTTGTTATTTGAAGGTGTTAAAGACAACCTTGAAATAAAAACTCGATATCCAATGTTGCTTCCAGTTAAGACCAATGATTCTATGACACGATTACCCAATGATACCACCTGAAGTCTAGTACCATTACATAACCCATTTTTCTGGTTGATATTTCTTAGTAACATAATCGAAACACCAACTTTTAAAATCAACATCTATTAACCACCTCCTGCTCGTTATCGGTTCCTACGCCCCACAATAATCTAGAGCTCCACATGCCCGGAACTCGCTGAAGTTCAATGAATGCGCCCCAACCCAGGCCATTATCTCAGAGTGAAACGCGCTCAACCGCTTATCCAGAATCTCCAAAATGCCCTCCTTGACCGTACCAAAGATCACAGTAGTCTGCTTGAGAATACAACGCATAATCTTAGACGAGATGAACTGGCTAGTCTAATCATCTAGTTACCCGACTCCAAAACCTGAACCCGAGCCCTTACCAGCACCAGAACTGCCAACAAGTCTGCCTCGCAATGTCACCATACTGAAAATAGACCATATAAGCCAACATAATACGCATCAAAATATATACATCAAGGGATCACAAACTCCACAAGCTTCCTAGTTTCATCGCAACTCTCCTTGACTCGAGTACAGATCCTCTACTTCCAGTAATATGGGACCATATTACCTTCCACATATATCCATACTTTCCCCAAGGATTGCCTTGAATCGACCAAGTATTTTTATATCTATACAACTTCCCCTCACAGATAAGGATCCTAACACTAGATCGCATCCTAGGTTTTCCTACGATAAAATCCACACCACTCTCTGCCATCAGTTGTAGAAGGAACTCCCGCTAATTTCCTCTAACTAGCTCATGAATACAATTACATATTACTAAAGCTAGATAATTCTTCGAATGAGTGGTCTCACACTACAACGGTTTGACTCAAACAAGAGTTGCACAATTGAGTTAAAACCTAACATTCTAAAATTATTTAGTTCCCATAATATGTAACTTATCATATTCGCTTACTAGTTAGCTGAAGCTAGTTAGAACTCCTAGAAAGCACAAAGCTAGCAGCATTCGGGCATTAAGTAATCGGAACCAAACATACCCTTACCAAGCCATCCTATTCTTGACTAATTAGTATTAGCATGCAAGTCTACCAGCTCATACAATACACATACAAAGGCATCTCCCCTAGCATTCTATCATGCAAAAATTGAGCAGATTATTAGCCCTAACTAGCATGCGGTTCACAGATTCACATATCAAATCATATTAGATAACATGTATGGGTATTTTGTAAAACTTAGTTGAGCTCGGCTAATTCCATGCACCATACCCTTTCTTGTCTTACACCCCGTTACCGAGTTCATTTTAAGGAGAGAAAAGAAAAGAAATTGGTGGAAGTGAGAGGAAAGTAAAAGAAATTGGTGTTCCCGAGTTTCATTAAAGGAAGGAAGTGGAAGGAAATGGAATGATCACTTTCCCTCCTAACTTTCCTTCCGATTTGGAAGGATTTTGAGAGAAAGAACAAAATGTTTAATTTTCCTTCCACTTCTCTCCAACTCGGGAACACAAAATACAAATTTTGTTTACTTTCTTTTCTTTTATTTTCTCTCCTTACTTTCTTTTCTCTTATCTTCTTTTCTTTGCTACAACTCGGGAACAGGATGTTAGAAAACTCTTTTCTTAAAATACATTTCTTTTGGAAAAAACTTAACTAAATCCTCAGTTTGAGTTCAGACACACCTAAGAGTATGTTCGAATCCCTCAAACCAATGCTCTGATACCAACTTGTAACACCCCAAAAATAAGACCCAAAAAGTTCATTTTTAATTTAATAAAATTAGTATTCCAAAAACATCATCAATACAATCCAAATAGAACATGTGTATCAATCATCATATCAAATCAGAGTAAATCACAAAATGTGGAACGAGGAGGTGTGCGCTACAATCATCCCGAGCCCTTCCCTTTGGAACTGGAAGTACCTCAAACATAAATTGAAAACCGCAAACACAAAGCTTAGTGAGTTCCCCAAGATACCAGATACTATATATATATATATATATAACACATAATGGGCCCCGCCCGTTAAGTATAACAGGCCCCGCCCAAACTCGCATAACGGCCCTGCCCAATGACTATAACGGGCCCCACCCTAAATCGCATAACGGGCTCTGTCTACATACAATTCATATAAACATAACAGATAATAACATAAAAAATAACCATCGGGCCCTACCTACTAAGCATACAAGCAGATACATATACAAGTGTCACATAGACAATGAGTATTCTAACATTACAGATAATGGGTCGGCATTGGTGCTTTCGCCCCGCTAAACACAGTGAGAAACTCACCTCGAACTGCTTAATCACACAAAAAAATCTTTGGCAGCTAGTTCGACAAATCCCTGAGCTATCAATACCAAATAACACCCCATAAATAATTGGATTTCAAATCCATAACCAACACTCTATGAATAGGGTAAAAAGACCATTTTAACCCTTACATAGTTTAGTCCAATACCAAAGCCTATACCTACAATCAAAAGGCCCAATTCCAGGATAATCATCTATGGCCCAATTATGGCCCGATTTTCCAAATTGGGCCCAAACCATTACATGAGCCTTAACCTAAAGACGAACACATTCTCAGCCCAAATGCATAAGAATTCAAATGGCCCAACAAGCCCTAAACATCTAGGCCCACAGAATGGCCCAAACCGAGGGTCCAAGATTGTGAAGCCCATCTTACTGAGTACAAGGGGAGAACTTAGTTGTACACTAAGCATACACGCTTTAGGGCTTGTACGCGACGTGTACAAACTTATATGCCCAACTTACTACCCCATTCAACCATCTTCCATATTAACCCCTAATACATTAAGACATTGCTCCAAAACGTAGATCTGAGTTCCTTAAGTTGGATTATCATGTAAAATTTCTAACTTTACGTTCATGGATGGCTAAATGAAGATCTTAAAGCTCAAAATGACTTGATAGATAACTTATTACCTGCATAAGCCCAAAAACTCCATAAAGTTTGCACCTTTACGCTTAAGAAACTCCTAATAAGCTTAGATCTAAAAGAATAAGCCCTTCAAACGTCTAAAATCATCAAACCAACCCAAAAAGGGACCAAAAGCTTAAAAACTAAAGCATGAAGAGATGTAAGCATGGAGAAGGCAAGGTTAGGATTTGATACCCCTAGAAGCTTGCAAAATGAGTGATGATTCTGGATTTCTAAACTTTCCACCAAGTAAAGCACCCTCACCTTTATTCAAATCCTTCAAGATGAGCAAAATAAACACCAAATTCATCACAAAAGCTCAAAGACACAACAATGGTGGCTTAAGGTTGATTTTAGGGTTTAGAATATATGGGGGTTGTAGAAAAAGCCAACCTTAGGGACATAAGGTATTTATATAGGGTACAACACCTTAATTAGGGTTTTCAAATTAGACCATTACGCCAAGCATAATCCTCGTACGCACAACGTACAAGGCCTCGCACCCCCAATCAGCTTCACCTTAGTATGCTAAGCGTACCATGTGGTACACCCCGTGTAACATCCCAAATTTCCAATAAAATTTTTCATTTTTAATTAACAAAAATCATTCTCAAGACATAATATTTCTACCACATC